TCCAGCCTTCTTTTTTCCCTTCTTATCGCCATCGCCCAGTTGTGCCCCATCATTGGCCATGGCCTCATTAAAGCTAGCTTCCTCTTCGTGTCTGGACCCAAACGTACAAGCAAATGCTGGAGGAGATGCTCGTGGGTACGGAGAAGAAGCCAGCCGTGCTCAAGGATTATCGGAATAACAGCTCCAATTCCCAGGTTCATTTTACTCTCACCATGACCCCGGAGAAGATGCGTGCCTTGTCCGCACCCGCAAGTGGAGGGCTTGAAAAAAGCTTTGATCTCACGTCCAATTTAACCACAGGAAACATGGTTTGCTTCGACCGGAATGGCAAGTTACGCAAATATCGGAGTGCTGAGGAGATCCTCGAAGATTTCTACCCCCTGCGCCTTGAGTATTATGGGAAGCGAAAGGCGGCCATGGAAAGAGTTCTGGAGGAGGAATGGGAGGAGTTGAGTGCTAAAGCTCGGTTCATCCTTGAGGTCGTCAGCGAGCTTCTTGTCCTTAACCGGAGAAGGAAGGCGGATATTGTTCAGGATCTACGGAAGCGTGGCTACCTGGCTATTCCGCCCGGAGGGCGAGGAAAGAGAAGACGGGGCGAATTAGACCAGGCAGAGGACCAGCCGGAAGCTCAGGAGGGCGGGGAAGAAGGGGAGGAAGGGGAGAAGAATGTGTCCCGGGATTACGACTACCTTCTCTCCATGCCCCTTCATAGTTTGACAACGGAGCGAGTTGCTCGTCTAGAGCGTGAGCGGGATGCGAAGGGTCTGGATCTCGATCATCTCCGAGCCAAATCCCCTGAAGATCTTTGGGAGATTGACCTGGCCGCCTTCCTTGAGGAATGGGATGTAAGTGATTAGGTGGTTGTCAATGGTGGGGTAAGGGAGATAGACAACCTTTGTGTATCCAAGCTAATATTCACCCCCTTCCCCTAATTTCTAGCGTAAGGAAGCTAGCTTTAATGAGGCCATGGCCAATGATGGGGCTCAACTGGGCGATGGCGATAAGAAGGGAAAAAAGAAGGCTGGAGGGGCAACGAGGAAAAAGGCTACCGCTGGGGTCAAGAGGAAGGCTGAGGATGGCAAGGCGGCCACAGCCAAGAAGACGACGATGTCTACTACGAAAAAAGCAGAGAAGGTCACTAGAAATGGAGATGGAGATGAAATCTCGGGAAAGCCTGAGAGTGTCAAGGTTGTACGTGGTCGGAAGAAGATCGTAGATGATGAGGATGATTTTATGGGAGGCGAGGAAGACGATATGGATGTGATCCCAACGGGAGAGAAGAGGAGACCCAGCAGTCGGAGGGCTGTCACCAAGACTCGATACGTTGAGAGTGATGATGGGGAGGATGGGGATGGAGGCGATGGATACGAGGATGACATCGTCAGTGGGGATGAGATGATGGAGGAGGAGGACGATTACTGAAACGGTGGGTGGATGGCACTGGAAACATTCCCAGGGAGAGAGAGGTGCCGTGACTCACTACGGTTAGATTATGGGCATACTGGGGATATTTCTCCCAAAAAGAGTGTTTAGGCAAGCGAGTAAACTGGGCACATAAAGAAAGCAATATAAGGTATTTTTGAGCTGATCATGGTTGACTAAGATGATGACTCCTTTGGAGGTTTTGATAAGGCGCCCAACTTTTTTTGAACCTGGGCATATGTCTTGGAAAACTATGCAAGGGCATCCTGTAGTTGTACTTATGCTTCAACAATGGAGCGGATCAACTTGGTCGCATCGGGCTCACGAGGTGGAGGCCAGGATGAGAGAGAAGAGAGACGTATTGATGGAATGGGGAGGTCAGGTGGATGCAGTGAAGGGATAGGAAGAGAGGGTATCATGGGGGCTGGGTTATGAGCAAGCCTGGTGGTCACATGTATACTGGATCCTAGGATCTTGAAGTTGGGATAATGCTTCTGTGTAACCCCTAGAGACTTGAAGTGAAGATTTGGCTTCATCGTCCCATGCTCCAGCGCTGGATCTTTCTTTGGCAGACAAGCATGAGCTTGCGATGGCAATGATTTAGGATGGTAGCTATTGCACAATGGAAGGGTGGAGGTGGATGGATAGGACCTCTATGAAAGGGGAATCGTCAACGAGTAACGGTTGGAATCAACCTTTAAGCGAAATGTAACACATACCCTTACCACCGTGATCTGCTTTGCCTCGGACGAAGGATATGATAATCTGGCCTATTCATGTAGGAAGCATGAAAAGGGATCACGAGGATGGGAGTATCCGCTGTATCTACCCATTTCATTCCATACCCTGGACTTGGTCAGTTCTCTTCTAGATGGGAAGCGCCGAGATGGATAATGGTATAGATTCTCTCTGAAAGGAGCACTGGAGAACTGATAGTGATAATGGTATAAGCTTAAGAACAAGTCCTAGTGATGAGATGACCCAGATATGCCTACTTACCTCGGCCTAGAAAACCCGGACTCCCAGGCTTGTCAAATCCTGTAATGATCGGATAGTATTCCTGTCAATATTCCGATCCCCTTGTCTGGGTGGTCGTTTCGAAGGACATCTCATGGTGAGGAAAAAAGGGAGTGGAAGAGAGGACTGTTGAATTCTCTCACTTTATGACCGGCGTTGGCAAATTAAGTCCAGTCTAATCAACATAGCCTGAGTGCAAGTGGAAAAATAAGCGCTCCCGGGTGGGATCGAACCACCAACCTCCTGATTAACAGTCAGACGCGCTAGCCAATTGCGCCACGGAAGCTATCTTGTGATACTTTCTGTCAGGTCACAGTTTATTATAGACAGGAGGGGAATTCCTATAGTGACGCTCACAAGTGAGGGCTGAGTGTATGTGTGTATATGTGTGTGTTGGATCACTCCCTCAGTATGAGAAGGGACGAGTATAAGAGGGAGCAAGAGATGGGAGAGCGCTCTCCATCCTGGGGGGATGGGCACCTTGGTTCTGCATCTGATTGAGAGACCAAGGGAGTAACAAGCATCCATCCCCCCAGACATCCACGATTCCCATCGTCCACAGAACACACCGAGAAGATCTCGACATTTCGGAAAAATTCTTACATTTACATAACTTAGTACCTTAAAGATAAGTAAAATGCTTCTCTTGTTTTCCATTCCTATTCTCTCAATGTTATCTTATATATAGGCTTTGCCCACGATGTATGGGTTCTAAGTCAAAAAAGACGCTAAATTCGCAAGAAAAACAGGATATTTCAGAAGTTAGGTTGGAGATGAGGTGAATGTCCATTTTTTGATAATGGTACGATTTAAACGATATAAGGAGCAAAGATACATGCTTCAAGTCAATGTCAGCTAAATAGTATTTATTGTCATTTTATTGTTCATCCCAACTAGGATAGTCAGCCTAGAAAGGAGGTAATGACCTCAATCTCCCATACCTCACCAACCAAGTCCTCTTCACTGTCTCATGGGAGCAGTTTTGAACTCCTTGCATTGGGAAGGGAGAGTAAAACCATCCACGGGCTGCAGGGGAACCTCAGTATCGGTAGCAGATACATTTCCCTGGACCAAGTGTGCATCAGCACCAAGGCCCCGATCGGCAAAGGCGCTCCACACATCACATAGAATAGCGGGTTGGATAATTTCAGTGGCTTGGAGGATGGAATCCCGAGCATTGAGAAAGGTGGGGAGACATGGCTGGAGACGCATGCCTACAATGATGATCCACAGGGCAAGGGTGTTGCCTCTTTCGACATTCCCGCTCATCCAATCAGGATCAAAACCCAATCGATCCACCAGGTTCCAGAACACTTCGTACAGGACACCAGCCCATATGGCTCCGCCCATGTGGGTTGTGCGACCCCGGGTGGCGGAGTAGGGGTCTTTGGGATCGGATGGGGCCGCCGAATACTTTCGACCTCGAAGGTTCTTCCCCATGACATACTCGGCGAAACCAAACTTGGCCGTCTTGCGTGTGTGCTTGGGTGTGACCCGGAGGATCACGGATATAAGATCGCTCCAGCCCTCAGCTAGCATCTCAGACTCACGACTCCCACAAAGGCAATCCGCGTTGGTGGCTCCGCCAGTGGAGCGACTACTAAGTCCGTGAATGTATTCATGCGTAGGAATTTCAAAGGTCAGGGCAGCACTCCGGCCCTGCAGTACGCCCAATTCCATGATGCCGGGCTCAGGGGCTGGGGGGGGGGCCCAGAAACGGGCGATGTCGGGATTATCACGTTCGGCGATATCCGAGTTGACGAGCACAACGATGGAGCCACCCTCCCTACCACCTTTTCCGTACGTCCGCTTCTGGAAGGCACCATTCTCCACAGTAAACCCATAAACTCCGAGAAGGTCATGCATCATGTTTCCGTGAAAGAAGATGGAGGAGGCGGCCTGGTTGAGACTTCCAGGCTGATAGGCCATGACACCATCCTCGTAGCCGGGGACTAGGGTACCCATATCAGTTTCCAGGGCTCCCCTTCGACCATCCCGGACATCCACATTATTTCCGGCCACATTCCACCGTCGTTTAGATTCGGGATCCACCCAACCATGCGGAGAGAACTGGAGGATACCGCGGGAATCTTCACCCCGAAGGACCGGGGATCCCTCTGAGGGATCATTGGCCCCACCCCAACCGTACACAAGGAACTTGCCTGCAGAGTAGACCCAATCAACAAGGGAGAGGACAGAGCCATCATCGGCAGATACTTGGGCATTGAGATAGTTTCCATCGAGTCGGACCTGAACTTGGTGGGTTCGGGTGAGGGAGCCCGACTTGTCAAAATACAAGGAGGTGAGAACCTTAGCGGTGAGGTCAGCGGCGTAAGTAACATTACTGACGGTCGTAATGGAGCTCGCAGAGGTAGAACGGTCTGCCACTGTGGGGGTAAGGTCAATGGCCCGAGGGGTCGGGATGTGGAGATAGGCGGCCAAGGCCACGACCGCTTCGACCGGGGTGATCATAGCCGGGGCCTCTACCAGAGCCTCTGCGTTGGTGGAAGCCCAGGAGAAGCCCGTGGGATTGACTTCAGGTGCAGATAGATCCACGTATGTGGTATTCTTAAAGATCGGGAAGGGCATGAGGCCTTGAGGCCCGGTGATACTGAAGGAAATGAGGGTTGCATGGAGGAAATTGAGTTGTAGCTGGAAATTGCCAATTTCGACGCCCGAAGCGGTCCGAGGCCGAAGATAGACATGGGTCAGGCTAAAGGTCCTGGAGTAATGGATATCCCGAATATAGAGGATGGCATGGGCAGGTAAAGCAAATTGCTCGCGGACGAGGACCTGGTTGGCGACACTCAGGATACGATCCATACCCAGGGGCACTTCCGGAATGGGGATGGGTCGACGACGGGGCGGGGAAGTCGGATTTTTGGAGGGTGTGTTGAAGGAGTTGGCATGGGCACTAGGGGAGGAGGTGATGGTACGAGGTGCCTTGGCTGCTTGAGCGAGGGAAAGGACTGAAAGGGCCCCGTAAAGAGGGAAGAGGAGGAGGAGAGAGAAGGGGGAGCTGGAGGTACGCATCGGAGGATCACAATAGCGGTTCGTGAGGACAGGAGAATGGATAAATGAAGGTTTAGGAAGCACGTCAGAAATCGAGAAACAGGAGGGATGGCCTAAAGGAAGCGCGATACACAGTGTATCAACAAGACCGAGTTCGTGAGGCGGAAGGGTGAGAGGATGAGAAATGAGCGAGGGAAGAAGAAGCGAGGTGCAAGAAAGGGTTGGGAAAGAGGAAGGAGGTCGAGATGGGGAGCTGTTACAGGAGCATAGACTCTGCCCTATTAAACTAAAGGGAGCGGAGTTACTTTAGCTAGGTTAAGTCGTACTACTTAACATTCTTTTGTCATAATTGGTAGATCATGGCGGGGCTTGAAACGCAGAAAATGAACAAAATCCTCTAAATTATCATCTGAATTACTAGACCGTATGCTTTAGCATAGCGCTCTGAATTATGTTAACAACATCATTATAGACTAATGAGGATAGCTTAGAATATGGCAAACTTCGAGTTTTTGGGTAAAGGATTTGGATGGTAGCCTCATCAGCGCCACTGCGCCTCGTGTATACTTCACTTCTCACTGTGTACCTACCCGGCATTAATCGTGGGCCAAATTTGGGCTAAGTTTGGAGACAAGCTCTTGGTCCTCAGTAGCAGGCTGAAAAGGTAAACATGGTCCATTCAGTTGAGCATTCCGCTCACTCTCTATCCTCCAATACACTTCTTGTCATCCTCTTCTCTTCTCTTTCCTTCCTTTTGCTCCCTTCCCTTTCTTGTTTGTTTAGGATCACTTCCCTCTTTGATAGGGCGGCCCTTTAGATCTTTACTCTTCTTTCAGCTACACCGGTCAAGATGAAGGGAGGACAGCAAACCTCGTTATACTTCAAAAAGAAGGCATCTCCGCCCTCCTTGACTTCCTCCAACCCCAATCCGACAAATCCCTTTCAAGCCTCTAGAGCTAGACTTCCCTCCGGGGTGACTGTGATGCCCGGGAGAGGAGCGACAGATACGGTATTGCAAAATATCCGCTCGGCCTCCAATTTTGCTGGGCCGAAGCACCGTATTCATAACTACACACCTAGACCCACCACAACCGCCGTGCGTGGAAGCACCGGGAATCATGCCCTGAGCGGGAAAAGGCGAAGTATCGTTGAGGTGGACGATAGCGATGATTTTGCTGATCCCTTTGGCACTCGCCCGGCCAACAAGCGCCATCAATTGGATGCGTCCTCTGGCCCAGGCGATACTATCAGCTTTCGGACCCACATTGGACAGAAGTCACTGAGTACGGAGCAAGAAGATGTCCTGGATCTGGTGATTCGAAAGGGGCGAAATGTTTTCTTCACCGGATCAGCTGGTAAGTGTGGAGCTGGGGACAAAATCACAAGGAGCATCCTCTCACCTTCCTTTAGGTACGGGAAAGTCCTTTATCCTTCGGCATATCATTACTGAACTCAAGGAGATTCATGGGGACACGTCCGTAGCCGTCACCTCCTCCACCGGAATTGCCGCTTGTAACATCGGTGGCTGCACCCTTCACTCTTTTGCGGGCATTGGTCTGGGACTAGAAGAGGTCCCAGCCCTTTGTCGCCGGATCAACAAGAATGGCAAAGCAAGGAAACGCTGGATGGAGACGCGGGTTCTGGTGATTGACGAGGTATCCATGTTGGATTCTGTTCTGCTAGATAAGCTGGAGCAGGTGGCTCGTAGACTACGAGACCCTTCCTCACCATTTGGGGGCATCCAGCTTGTCCTGACGGGAGATTTTTTCCAGCTGCCTCCCGTAGAGAAAGCTTCTGATGCGGGGAAGATAAAGTTTGCCTTTGAGGCGGCCTGCTGGAGAAAGTGTGGGTTGCGGATCATCCAGCTCACACATGTCTATCGTCAACGGGACAACACGTTTGTGGAGATGTTGAATGACATTCGGGAGGGCAACCTCAAGCCCCGAACGGTAAATCTCTTCAAGAATCTCCATCGCCCGATCGCCAACCTTAACGGTGTCGTTCCCACCCATCTGTACTCGTTGCGCCGACAAGTGGATGATGCCAATGACCGACAACTCCGAGTGCTTCCCGGAGAACCGCGGGTCTTCACGGCCCGGGACATTGGCAAAGAATCCTACACTTCCAAACTGGACAACAACTGTCTGGCGCCTAGTCGACTCATCCTCAAGCTAAATGCCCAAGTCATGCTGATCAAGAACATTGATCAGACCCTGGTTAACGGTAGTCGTGGGGTTGTCATCGGTTATGAGGCTTCGGATGGGAAAAGTGGTG